AATTAGGTAAATTTTACGTAACCTTTTCTTAAGGTATTATCAATAATGATTTGTTAAACCGGATCTATCAATTTAATTATGATCTTGTTTATTATTATTACTACACCTTTAAAGCAATATATAGTAAATTTTGTTCCATAATATTAACACATATTCATAATTTAAGACTTTTATAGATTATAAAATCTGCTTAACAATGACCATACTTCATATTAAAGTAATACGTATGGTTTCCTGATATTAACCTTTTATAGTTGAAAATCTACTATTTTTGTTTAGGTATTATGCCATAAATAAAATTGTAAAAAAAAGGATTGGTTACTTAAATACCAACAAGTTTTTTTCAGATAATGTTAAAAATTACTAATCGGTGCAAATAAAACTTAATGATTTGACTTTTTATTGTAAAATTTGTAGTTAAAGCCAAATTATAACCATAGGGTCATCAGTAAAATAAAAGCAAGTGATACAAGGTGTTTTGGAATTTGTCTCAACTTAAATAATTTATAGAGATAATTAGGTGTTCTCTTCTACTAAGTACAGGGTGATCCCCTATAATGTCGCCCCCTTTAACTTTTTTATTTTAAGTGTCCCAAAAAAATTAAAAGTGTGGTTATGTAGGTACTAAAAAATACTTTTTTTCTACGTAAAAAGAAAATTGAAAAATTGATCAGTATACAGGGAAAAACAAAAAGTTTATTTTTTTTTCAATGGATCACCCTATATATGTATTTATTTTTCGATTCATTGTAAAATTCTAAGCATATTTCATATAACATACAATATACCTAAATTCAACCGTTTCGGAAATATTTAAATTATTTTTAAGATAATAAAGTTGAAATAGTTTGTCTTTCTCTGTCTAAGTACGACATTTTTACTTATTAAACAAGACATATTGACATAATGTCACTATAGTAATTTATTTTCAATTAAAATTTTGGTATATTGAGGCTTCTAACAGCTTCTAACAGTTTAAAAAACATTTACTGATAACATTTCGAATGCGAATATTTCAGAAACGGTTGAATTCAGGTATATGGTTTGTTATATGAATTATGCTCAGAATTTTACAAGGAATCGAAAAATAAATTCATATATAGAGAAGTATACGTAGAAAAAAAGTATTTTTTAGTACCTACATAACCACACTTAAAATAAAAAAGTTAAAGGGCGGCGACATTATAGGGGATCACCCTGTACATGTAAGTTTAAAATTACGACATAACCAATTTTTATTACATCATATATCTTTGCTTATTTTTGGGTAATAAATATTTACTTCAAGCTGGTGGTAGTACTACAACTATAAATGGTGGATGCGCCCATTAACCACGTGTTAATTACCTATCTACATCATAAAAAGTGTCATAAAACTTTATTTAACGATTAATTTAGCTCTAGTACTTCCATCAAAACCATTCATTTCGAAATTAGCAATTACTTATTCCGTACGCCTATCGGATAGTGGGCAATTTAAAGAGAACAACATCGTTAATTTCGAGTCCGGCTCGGTACTGGTCAGTATTGTCCCAATTATTTCACGTTTTTTTTTTTTTTTTTTATTTATTTCAGCAGTTTGGTTTCTTTAAAACGTATAGTGTCGAAAGGGAAAAGTAGGTTGCATCGAGACCGCTAATTGATCGTTATCGATTTTATGTAATCTCAATAAACGGCAACAATGTAGTGGAATTTTAATTTTGGGAAAAACTAGCCAGACACCCAACTTTATATAAATTTATTTCTTAGCTTAAAATCAAGTAGGTGCAGTTGACACAAGATGATTGACCTAATATTGTCAAGGCTAAAACTAACATTAAACTAAATATTAATCTTTCTTTAAACAAGCAGATCTTATTCTTGCATTTTAAATGATAAGAAAGACTTTAAATGAAATAATCTTATCCTTAATTTAAGATTAACAATCGATTAGACCAAATTTTGGAAAATTCACTCTATTCTGTCCTTTATTCTAAGATTAGTAAATATTGGTACGACTGGCCTATTCTTAAAAATACTCACGAATGTGTCCGACATTTTGGAAGATTGTTTCTTGTGTTAGTTAATATTTGGTTTTAAATTATGAAAAAGCTGCTAAATTAGTGGAATTTGATAGAATTAACCACCAAATATGTGTACGTAATAATTATTACATAATTATATTTATGTGTGTAGTATTATGTATTGAATTTTAGATGTTGGAGTGATATTAGGTTGGCCGAAGAATCACATAAAAAACAATTATGTATGTTTTACCTCTAGATTATAGGTACGAATAAAAATTTTGGTTAAACAAAATCAACGTGTCTGAAGCTTTGAAAAAATCATTGCAGTATATATTATATTATATAGGTATAGACCAAGATATTTAATCCAAAAGTAAATTTGTATCGCCAAGAATTATAACATTTGTATCAAAATAATATGATAGTTTTTCTTGAAATAAGAATAACTCCTTCAAATAAGTATTAATTTAAATTATAAATAAGAATAAATCAAGTTAAAAAAAAATTTAACATCTTTTTTACTGGGTTAAAAATAGGTATTTGCATGCAATAATTTTGCAACGTTGACATATTTTTATGAAAATTCATGTTATTGCCCAATTTTTCATAACCTTGTTGTTCTCTGAATGTTCCATATACGTCCGAAGGAATTTTGTAATTGATCCCACATACCCAAGTACCACGCAAAATCCATGTAGCTGATTGTGTCAGATTTAAATAAGCAATTGATTTTTTGTATGTTTTATTTGGAATTTAATTAACTTTTTTAAAAGTACCTTTATAAAGTTTTTTGAGTAAGTACATATTTAGGTTTTTAAAGTTTGGTAATAAAAATAATTATTGTAAAAAATATTAACCAAAACTCATTTTGGAGTCTCATTTGGTTAGTCAAAATGGTTCCTATTACATTGGGATCATTCCTAGAATAATGATTCATACCATACATACGTATATGAAGACATGTGAGCTGACTATAGAAAATAAAATTAATGCCAATGTCAACAGAAACACAATATCTAAACTTGACCTTGTTACTACTCGGTTTTTCATTGTTAACACACATAAATAGTGTGGACGTATATTTATTTTTAATAATGGTACAATTAGTGATCAAATAGCAATTTCAATAAATTAATAACGAATCGATTATAAGAGTAGCAATATTTAATTGGGAGATAATTTTGTTGAGAAATTTTAATTGTAAGGTTTAAAGGTAATTATGTCATGTTAATTATATGTTGTATGTAGTTTAGTTTAATGGAAAATAAAGAATGCATTTTTCATATTTTTATATGAATTGCTAAAATTTTAAGTGAAGTAAAAATACATGGAGGTGTTTTATATGGTTGACATTGTCACTGTCAGTGTTTTAGTTTTTAGGTTAGTTTTAACTTGAGACATTCTTTTTTATGAAAAATTGGTGGCCCTAAAACAGATTAATAATCGTTTTAAACGTTGTTTCTTACAGAGGCGCTTGTAAGCCTAAAGTGCTAAGAACAACCATTTTACTTCTCTTTTGGTAGAAATAAACCTTATTCTATCAGGGCTGTCATTAAACTTTCAAATTTCAATTTTAAGGTTAATTTACTTTTGAGACACCCTGTATATCTACTTTATTCCTGGGCACCCTGTATATTGTATGCATTATTACAATAATTATTATTTGCATTAAAAACATAAATGTATCAAAGAAAGTGAACGTGTTTCACTTAACGCTATGCAACCTGTTTCATAATTTATGTTAATAAATCATAAAATTACTTCAAATACTTCCTTCCTATAACAGAAATTAAAACCATAAATGAATTATTTACCAATAAATAGAAATCAAAATTACATAAAGATTAATTTGCTGTAAAAGGTCAATATCAGGTGTCATATATTTAAATTTTACCACCAAATGTTAAAAGTCATACCTAAAAATTATAATAACGAGGTAAGTGTATTATGAAAGTAAAAACTTGTTCCGTATATTTTTTACAACGATATTTATGCAGGCTATAGAAATACATAGTATGTATGTCCTGACAATTTATCTAGATCTACTTCCTCCTTCCCGAATTTTTATTTTAACGAAGAAAGTATAAACGTTACAAAACTGTTTTATTATTATATTAATACACTGTTCAAAATTTCATGACCATTTTAACACCAAATTAACACCATACATGGTCTATATCGATACAAACCAAAATGGTGTTATGGTTCGTTGGTCCAGTGTAAATTCAAATACAAAAATGGTGTAAATTTCACACAGTATTAAAATAAATTTTACCTGGTGTAAATTGAACTCCTTTTCGGTGTTAAATATAATGTATTTTTGGTCAAATTAAATCATACTACACAGAAAGTTCCTTGACGCATTACAAGTATATTACCAGTGGTATTATTCCAGAAAATTGAACCTTCAACTCGCTAGAGATAATGTTTTTATTGGGTTCCACCAACTTAAAATAATTTAAGTGTTGACAGCTGTTTCCACCTATTTAAGGTATCTTTAGTATCGAACAACTTGTAGTGTCACACCAAAGCAAAGGACTACCTAAGCTTATATACTCTTCATGTAAGTTAACAGAGGCGAGATTTAAGATTGTCGCGATCGGTACATACTATGCAACAAGGAATGCACGGCAAATTGTTTTAATCGTTTTAACAGAGTGCTTTAGGTTGAAGTAACTCTTATTTTACAAACAACATATTTAGTAAACTGAACCATACAGCGGGTTGGTTTCACTAAAGTTTTCTTGGTTAATTTAACCAATTTAAAAAAATAAAATAACTATCTGGTTTAGTACCGTCAAACAAATCATCAACTATTCTTTTTTTCTGTGTAGGTGCACTTCTCAAATATTTTTAAATAAACACCGTTTTGGTGTTTGCTGTATAAAACCATAATTCATTGGTGTTGGATTTTGACACCATTTTAAGATTACCCTTCACACCACAGATATTTTAAACAGTGTAGTACACAAATTTATATATTTTTTCTTTTAGTTGGTATTACTGATATCATGTTGGTTTACGAATGGGTGGCAAACCTCCCCGCACCAGTACCATATACAGACCGACGAAGGCCCCGAACGGTACTTTAGGTACCAAACCGACAGCGGTCAGTACCGCAAGGAGAAACGACTCGAAGATGGTACCGTGATTGGTACTTACGCCTGGATAGATGACGATGGCATTTTGAGGCAAAGGGATTACATCGCCGACAATGCCGGGTACAGGATATTGAAGACCAAGAATGTTTATGTTGGTAGGTACCACCAGAAATGTAGTTAAATTTTGACCTTTAAATATTCTCTATCCCGGCGCGTTCGCCATTTTTGATATGGCGAGATTCTCAATGTGGCGAATGTGCCGGAATCAAAATGGAGGTTGTGTATCTCATTAAGACTAACAATTTTTTTATTGATATTATTACAAGAACCCACTTGGGTACCTTGGTAACCCCCGGGCATAGATAAAAAAACTACAAGTATAAGTATAATGTCGAAAAGGTATTTGATGCTCTAAACACTATACATATATATATATATATGGTAGATTCGTAGAATAAAATGAACCCAAAGAAAAGATGTTGTTTTGTCGACTTGTATAATACGTGTATACGTTTTTCGTATTTAAAAGATCTGGATTGACATAAATTATTTTCCTTAATTTTTAGGGCGTGGAGTACCAGTGGGAGAAGCCGTAAAATCCATCAAAAAGTACCCGGCATCGGCCGGTACCCAAGTCCGCCAGAGACCTGTAATCAGCGACTTACCCAGACCTACAGCTTACATACCACCTGTAAGAAGACCTGTAATCACCGACATACCATCAACAACATTCCTACCTCCAGTGGTATCCACAACTGAATATTTGCCACCAAGTAGTAGTGAAAGTCCACTATTCTACAGACCAGCTGAACCCATGGTGCATACATCTTATGGTGTCAGTACCACTACTAGCAGACCAATATTATATTCCACGCCTTCACCAATTAATGTGGAAATAAACCCCAATAGTCTACAGTCCATATCCAGCACAACACCAAACTACGTTGAGATTACGCAAAACTCTTTGATCGCTACCACTGAGGCCGCCTCGAGCATATCACCGGAATACCTGGTACCCATAGCAAACAATTCGGTCTCTGATTACTATGCTTCCACCCCAAGACCCTTCACAGCGCCTCCAGCTGATGTACAGTTCGCTCCACCAAACTACAACTCCATAGATGAATACAACCCCTATGTGCACCACAGAGATAATTCCTTCAGGTTCCAAAATGGGCCCACATACCCCATAGACCGTAACGGTTTATCTTACAACGGTAGAATCGGTAATGGGTACGACCCACAGTACCAAAAATACGATGGCGTATCTGTAACGAACGATGGGTTCCGTTACTACATCCCCAGGGCGTACCACGAGGAAACCACTAGTGGCGAGCGAAGGGACGGTAGTTTTGGTTACATAGACCCATTTGGTATTCGTAGGGTAATCTACTATAACACGGCGCCGGGCACAGGGTTCCAGCATAGAAAAAATAATAGATACGTCGGGTTCCAAGCGACACCATACGATCCTAGACCGTACTAAACTTGCCTGAGGAAAAAATTGTTTAACACTGCCTATAGATAGGACGAAATTATAAAATGTGATGTAACCTTTATTTAATTCTTGTATTATAAGCTGTAGGTGCCATGGGTTCCACATTTTAGGCATTGTGAATAACAGTTTATGTTTTTTAGTTTAGTTAGTTTTCTTATTTTACTCATAAACTCTTGTTCCGATGCCTGATAGCTTAATGATTTATTTATAAGACTATTTTATTAATTTATTAAAATCTTTTCTCCACCTTTCTATCACTATAACTCGCACTTTTAGATTTAAGAATACGTAGAAAATTGTTGTAAAATTTGATAAAAATTAAATGGAACATGATACAATAGTTGGTCTTTTATTTTTTTTACCACAAAGACGTTTTTGTACGTGGCCGAGGATAGAAAGTCAGACAACTTGTCTCTATACATCCTTGAGAAAATAGCAGAAAACAGACGTCAAAAATGACAGATGACAGATATCAAAAATGACGGATAAAACATGATATTTGACAAACGTCAAAAAAATTTCGAATTGTTTTGATTTCGAATTGAACTATTTAAATAATTCCAATAAATATTCAAATAGTTTATACAAAATTTCATCAAGATTAGAGAAGACTTTTTAGAGTTTTTTTAATAATTTTAATAATTAATATTTAATTAATTAACTTTTTTTACTTATTATGCGTTAATTTTGATGCGCAGTGTATATTTCTCCTCTAATCGATTTAATCTATTTTGCAATTTTATAATAGATTAAAGATAAAACAATATTCTCAACAAATCACTTCTATATCTGTTTTCCTGCATTCAACTGTTTTTGTAATAAATAATATATTCCTCAGATTTTAATTTAATTTGTTTAGTGTTAATCAGGTAAGTCTATTGTTTTTTTAAAGATTTTTCGGCACCATTAAATCAAATTTGTGTGTATTTTTTTAAACGTATAATATAAGTGGAGATAATCAATCAAGTCATTTGACTTATGTAATCAAAAATTTAAGCAATCGTTAAAGGTGTGATTGGGTTTGTAAAAATCCCCTTACTTATAAGTATACGTTTACAAATTTTACTTATAAGTATACGTTTACAAATTTTGGACATTTTCGTAAAAATTTAGGATATTAATTTAACTGCATTTATTTTAAGCTAAATAAATCAGGTGCATTACTATATACACCAACTTGTTTTTTTTTGTTCGCAGCGCCCCCTAAATTTTTAGTTTATAACCTAAAAAAAATTATTAAAAAAATTATAAAAAAAATATTCATATTATAATATTAATATGTATATATATATTAATATTTAATATTAAACCGTGCCACAAAGACGATACATTTTCCATTTAAATAACATGGGGTTTCGGCAAGTTTTACATTTAATTTTTTTTCTCCCGAGCATATACAGATACACATATTTTTATAGGAAATTGAACGCTGGTTTTTAAATTTTGGTCTTGCAAGTTTCCGGCTTTATCAGGTCTTAGAAAATAGGCCATTCTTCATTAAATAATTGGTAATTACGATGTAGGTCCTAATTCAATGTTTGATATTGAACCATTTTTTTTAATATTAGAAAGGAAGAGCAGACGTCAATGTGCAGCTGGTTAAATAATTTTTTTTATTCAAATATTATATTTTGAAGTGTTTTTATCAATTTATTTTAATTCTTTTATCAGATATAAACTTGGTTAAAACTTTAATTTTTGTATTATTTAGACTTGACTGCCAAATAATAAAAAACTTTTATTCTATATTTTTCCAATTTATTAAACTTTTACCTTTTTATTGGAATCACTTTTATAGCTTCAAAAAACAGGACACTTTCTTAATTTTTCAACAAGAGGTCTAATTTACAAAAAATGGAAAATCTTGTAAAAAATGAACAAGAAAGTCCCAAGCGCAAGAAGAGGAAGATAGAAGACGAAGACGAAGACGGAGACAGAGAAGAAGAAGAAGAAGAAGAAGAAGAAGAAGAAGAAGAAGAAGTCCTGGATAGGTAATGTTTTTAATTTAAACATTTTAAATTAAAATAGCGCGACATTTCTTTGGCCGGTAATTCGGATTCGTGTAATTACTGTTATATATCGTTATATCAATTTTAATCCCGAACTAGTTCGGACATCCTAGACATGTGCATTTTACATTTAAAATGCCAAATTTTAAAATGGGCATTCCCAGGATGGCCGGAACCAGTCCGGGATTAGCTGCGCGAGAAGAGCTAATTTTTATTAATTATAACCTATGGCGTGAATTTTTCCGATAATCTCACCCACTCTACCTCAAAATGTATGAAACAATGTTTTGGTTTGGGCTGAGAAACGTCGTGAAAATACATTGCGCCTGCACGATGCACAAAAATGTGCCTGTGTGGGACTTACTTAATTTTAGGGTTAGGTTAAAAAGTAAAAATCATGCTCCCAATAGTTACTATCCAATAAGACGGCGAGATTTTTCTGTATGTTTGTTGTATTTGTAGAAAATTGCACTAAATTCTTTAATAAAATTTAAAAATCTCTAAATATCGCATTGGAAAATAATTTGGCATAAAACATGTCAATTTTTGGTCAAACTTTATGAAAATACAATTAATATGTCCAAATAAACCCCAATAAATGTAAAATATCGTAGTCCAAACTTAGTTGGGAAAAAGTTGACTAATTTCTTTCCCAAAGCATGGCTCTCTGGTTTACCAATGACGAAGAAGAAGACGAAGACGGTGGCAGAGACGGATTTAGTGACGAATGCGAAACCGAAGACGAAGACGATGACGATGAAGAAGAAGTCGTGGATAGGTAATGTTTTTAATTTAAACATTTTAAATTAAAATAGCGCGACATTTCTTTGGCCGGTAATTCGGATTCGTGTAATTACTGTTATATATCGTTATATCAATTTTAATCCCGAACTAGTTCGGACATCCTAGAAATGTGCATTTTACATTTAAAATGCCAAATTTTAAAATGGGCATTCCCAGGATGGCCGGAACCAGTCCGGGATTAGCTGCGCGAGAAGAGCTAATTTTTATTAATTATAACCTATGGCGTGAATTTTTCCGATAATCTCACCCACTCTACCTCAAAATGTATGAAACAATGTTTTGGTTTGGGCTGAGAAACGTCGTGAAAATACATTGCGCCTGCACGATGCACAAAAATGTGCCTGTGTGGGACTTACTTAATTTTAGGGTTAGGTTAAAAAGTAAAAATCATGCTCCCAATAGTTACTATCCAATAAGACGGCGAGATTTTTCTGTATGTTTGTTGTATTTGTAGAAAATTGCACTAAATTCTTTAATAAAATTTAAAAATCTCTAAATATCGCATTGGAAAATAATTTGGCATAAAACATGTCAATTTTTGGTCAAACTTTATGAAAATACAATTAATATGTCCAAATAAACCCCAATAAATGTAAAATATCGTAGTCCAAACTTAGTTGGGAAAAAGTTGACTAATTTCTTTCCCAAAGCATGGCTCTCTGGTTTACCAATGACGAAGAAGAAGACGAAGACGGTGGCAGAGACGGATTTAGTGACGAATGCGAAACCGAAGACGAAGACGATGACGATGAAGAAGAAGTCGTGGATAGGTAATGTTTTTAATTTAAACATTTTAAATTAAAATAGCGCGACATTTCTTTGGCCGGTAATTCGGATTCCTGTAATTACTGTTATATATCGTTATATCAATTTTAATCCCGAACTAGTTCGGACATCCTAGACATGTGCATTTTACATTTAAAATGCCAAATTTTAAAATGGGCATTCCCAGGATGGCCGGAACCAGTCCGGGATTAGCTCCGCGAGAAGAGCTGATTTTTATTAATTATAACCTATGGCGTGAATTTTTCCGATAATCTCACCCACTCTACCTCAAAATGTATGAAACAATGTTTTGGTTGGGGCTGAGAAACGTCGTGAAAATACATTGCGCCTGCACGATGCACAAAAATGTGCCTGTGTGGACTTACTTAATTTTAGGGTTAGGTTAAAAAGTAAAAATCATCCTCCCAATAGTTACTATCCAATAAGACGGCGAGATTTTTCTGTATGTTTGTTGTATTTGTAGAAAATTGCACTAAATTCTTTAATAAAATTTAAAAAAGTATAGTGCTGAACTCTTGAGAAATTACAAATTCTAAATAACATTCGGATGAATTACTTCTCTTGCCTTTAGCTCGTGTTGCAATATTCTTTTTTACCGTTCTGACAACACTTTAAATTTAAAAAAGTGATACTTTCATGCACAGTTTGTTTCTGGAATCTACCAAAGGAAAAGCAATAATTTAAAATATATTTCATTAAATAAGAAACATGAATTTTTATCAAATCGATTAGCTCATATTAAATTCAGCAAATTTTGCTTGAAACAACTTTTTTTGCACTACGCTCACTTTCAAATCTGTCATAGAGAAAAAAAAAAACAGAAAGATCCTAAATGGTCATCCCTAGAACACAAAGGGCCAGTGTTCGCCCCGCCATACGAACGCCTTCCCGAAACCGTAAAATTTTGGTATAACGGCGAAGAAATGCGCCTGTCGGAGGAAGCGGAAGAGGTGGCCTGTTTGTACGCCAAAATGTTGGATGACGAACACACAACAGAGGAGGTTTTCAACAAGAACTTTTTCGAAGACTGGCGCAATGTCATGACGGACGAGGAAAAAGGCAAAATCACCGAATTTGAAAAGTGCAACTTTAAGGATATGAATACGCATATTAAAAGGGAAAAAACCGATGAGGAAAAGTTGGCGCTAAAGGAGAAGAACGACGAGTTGTTGAAGGAGTACGGCTTCTGCAAAATCGACGGGCGCAAGGAGAAGATTGAAAACAAGATAGAACCTCCAAGTTTGTTCATAGGTAGAGGCGAGCATCCCAAGATGGGGAGGCTGAAGAAACGCGTGGAGGCTGAAGACATCATCATCAATTGCGGCAAGGATTCCAAAATACCCAAACCACCACCAGGTAAGAAAAAAAACACATTTACGAAATTTTTAAAACATTTAAAAGTAATGGGCCCACAGTTGGATCCTTGAGGTACACTCTAACAATTTTGCACTCTTAAAATTTTGTTGTGTGTTCATCAAAATTTTAACTAAAAATAAACCTTTTTTATGAGATATCTGGTGGTTCATAATGTTGAACGTTTTTAAAGGAAATATAAAAAAATAAAATTATATCAAAATAAACATTTTTATATTAATCCTTAATTTTTTTATCAAAATCTAAAACCAGCACCCATTTCCATATCGAATGATCCCTATAGGATTGGATTTGCTAGTATTTATTTCATGGATGGTGTTTGATAGTAACCCAAAAATAAAACGGTCTTGGTTAAAGTAAACTTTATCTTTTCTTTATTAGGTCACAAATGGAAAGAGGTCCGTCACGACCAGTCGGTAAGTTGGCTAGCCTCGTGGATCGGAAACGTCCAGAACAAAACTAAATACATTAAGTTGGACCCTAGTTCCAAATTAAAGGGGGAAACAGACAAGCAAAAGTACGAGACGGCCCGCAAGCTGCACAAAAACATCGAGAAAATCCGCAAGGACTACCGCGACGACTGGAAGTCGAAGGAGATGCGCATCAGGCAGCGCGCAGTGGCTCTCTACTTTATCGACAAGCTAGCTCTCAGGGCCGGTAACGAAAAGGACGAGGATCAGGCGGACACGGTGGGTTGCTGCTCGTTGCGCGTGGAGCACATCGAGCTGCACGAGCAGAAAGACGACAAGGAGCACGTGGTGGTGTTCGACTTCCTCGGTAAGGACTCGATCAGGTACTACAACGAGGTGCCGGTGGAGAAGCGCGTCTTCAAGAACCTGCAGCTGTTCATGGACAACAAGGCGCCCGGCGACGATTTGTTCGATAGACTCAACACCTCCATCATGAACAAGCATTTAAACGATCTGATGGAGGGTCTGACCGCCAAGGTGTTCCGTACCTATAACGCTTCGTGGACGCTGCAGCAGCAGTTGGACTTGCTGACGAACGAGGACGACACCGTCGCCGAGAAGATTCTGTCGTACAACAGGGCGAACAGGGCGGTCGCCATTCTCTGCAACCATCAACGATCCGTGCCGCCAGAAGGTAAGAGAAACCCCTAGTAAAATAAAACCTTAAAAGTATCCGCAAAATCCCTATGATAAAAATAAGAAAGAACAAATGAGATGACTACATAATACTGCCGTCCAAAAATTAAAGAGTGGCTAACTGACATTTTAAGAGTTTTATTTATATTTGAAATCCTTAAAAAATGCAGCTTGAGATTTAAAAAAACGTTTTAAATAACAACGACATAAAGGATCAAAAATAGAACGTTATCTAACAAAAATGTTGGAGTCGCTTCTAAATTCGTCACAGTTTACAACTTCGGACTCCGTCAACTTCACTTTTGATCCAATAGCAAAAGCTTTGAAACGCAAGCTAATTTACAAATCTGTTAGCGGGTGCTGTTCCTAAAAATGAAACATAAGTGATTTTCTTTAAGTTGAAATTAAAATTCAGATTTTTTATCGTCCTTAAAACCTGGATTGGGTGGTACAAACAGGTTTTCGCCTTTTTCTCAGTTTCGATCAAAATGAAATTAGCCACTCTTTTACTTTTGAACTTAAGGTATACAAATTTTAAAATTGCCTTTCAGTTTACAAAAAAAATATGGAAAAGTTGAAGGAGAAGATCGACGCGATACGCGAGCAGATCAGCGAAGGCGAGCGCAAAGTTAAAGAAGCTCAGCGCGACGCTAAACTCGACAGCGACAAGAAGGAGAAGGAGAAGGAAACGAAGCTCAAGCACCAGCTCGCGGAGCTCGAGATCGAGAAGAGAAACTCCAACGAGAACAAAACAGAATCGCTGAACACTTCGAAGCTGGATTACAACGATCCCAGGATCACCGTGGCCTGGTGCAAGAAGTACGACGTGCCCATCGAGAAGATCTACACCAAGTCTCAGATGGAAAGGTTTGGATGGGCTATCGTTGAGGCAGGACCGGATTACCGTTTCTAATCCTAGACGTTTTGGCGCAAAAATAAGTTTTTCCACAACCGAACGAAAAGTACAAATCGCTGGTTTGGTGCAAGGCTATCCTAAGTACATTTTCAATGAATTTAAGAAAAAAACTTAAAAACATTTCTATTTATTGTATCTAAATTGTTTTTAACATAATATCTATTTATTTATTAATCTTTGAATGTAAAACCTTCCAATTTTTAAAAGAATGACGCAAAAAACAATTTAGTTACAATAATTAGAAATGTTAAATAGTGTTTTTCTCCAATTCCTTGGAAATGGACTTAGGATAGTCTTGCACCAAACCAGCGAAATTTGCTCTTCCAAAAGAAAGCGGAAAGTTCCACTTTTTCGAGGAGCGAGCGTTTTTTTTACTTTGTCGCTCGCCGAGCGACAAAGTAATCAAAACGCTCGCTTAGTTCCCATGGAAACCATAATAAAGAAAAGTCAGGTGTATCTGCAACTTTTGACACAAAATCTTAGGTTATCAATAATTATTAATTTTTACCCAAACATTTTTATAAAAATACCGGTTGTAGAAAATATTTATCTTGTGTGTAATTCGAGCGCAAAGTGACAAAGCCGCTCTCGCGAGATAGCCAAACTTCTCGCTCAGAGCGACAATATATCACTTTGCGCTCTTAATAATAATTTGTGCAATTAACATAAATATTAGGGTGTCCGTTATTTACCAAGTTAGCTGTTTTCACTCGGATATCGTTTAAATTAATATTTTATGTCCTAAAAATAATTTTGAAAAAAAAATGTCCCATGCCGCTTAACCCTGCCTAAATAACGATACTTTTCCCATTCATTTAATTTTTTTTTTACGTTTATTCAGGAAGATATAATATATACAGTATTATACAATAACCTATAATATTTATAAAATACTTGCAACAAAATATCACATATAAAAAAAATAACATATTTCATGAATAAATTTTCCAAAGCAGCAAAGATGCTGGAACCGGAAATTTCACATTTAAAAATCAATTTTATTTAAATAACATTAAATTCTAAATCGTAAAGAGACTAAAAAACTAATAAACTAATAAAGGGGGAAGTTATTCTACCTGGCAACTGGGGTGAACAAGATGTTTTATTTTTCGATTAAATATGTTTATAGTAGTGCTATTTTTTATTGGGTCGGGTAACTTATTGTAGGTTTTTATGCAATTTATTATGGGGTTATTTAGGGCTACGTTTGTTCTTGTATTTAATATTGCAAAATTTTCATTACTTCTTGTATTCTGATCATGAATAGTATTAACTAATTTTAAATCTGTATTGCATTTATGTCCATTTTTAATTATCTTGTAAATGAATTTACCTTGTTCAATTTTTAGGATCTGTGAAATTTTTAAGAGGCCTGTTTTTTTTTAATAAATTATTAATATGGAGTTTTGGCACTTTTTGGAAATTAATTTTTTTCTTGTTTATTATATTTAATAAATTACCAAATATTGTTGATTCTGCTTTTATTATGATCCCTTTGGATACAAAAATTTTGATATTGGAGTCAATACATTGACATTTTAAATTAGACATAAAACAATAAAAATTTCATTAAGATATATCTGACATGTGTGAGATTTAATCATAGAAAATAGTTTCGCTAATATAAGTCATAGTTTACTAGATTTGTTTTTTGGCCAATAGACAGAAAATTAATGTCTAAATTGCCCTGCTTGTAGTAAAAACCTTGTACGCATAAACACTATTTACCTAGAAAAATGCGGTTATTTTTCTCCACTGCAACAGGATGAAAATCTGTAACAAAGAACAAAAAACAAGTACATAATATAGAACTACCAATGTTAATTTATATTAAGTACCTACTTTAAAATTAACGAGGGAATAACAATCTGTGAAATGTAAGAAATTGTTCAATTATTGAATTATTATTCATTAAAAAAATCTAAAAACATAACCTTAATAACTTACTCAAAACTTAAAGCTGTTTAAAACTTAACATACGTTTAGTTAATGTATGGATGATTATAATTTTTTGAAATAACTTTTACACAAGCACTTTTTTACGCATTTGTGTAGAGAAAAGGGTCTTGAAATATTGCAATTTTCGACCAAACTTCATTACAAACAAACAAACAAGTTGGCCAAACATAACTATACTATGGTCTTTATTTTCATGCAGTTTTAGTGCTATCCAGAGATAAAGAAATAAATCGCGTTGGCATAAAATATGATGAAAACTTGATGAAAATACAATTTATATGTCCAAATAAATCCCAATAAATGTAAAATATCGTACACCAAACTCTCTGGGTATCGACTTCACTGAAGCTATAATTTTTGTGTGCAATTTTTTACCAAATACTTTTTTAGTTTAATAAGTTAGAATTTTTTTTAAGGTATGTATTACAGATTTAATAAGAAATATAGAACGATTCCTAAATATTTTTTATATTTTATTTAAAACTCAGTTTGTCTACACTTTTTTCATGATTCATCATAATTTCATCTTTGTATTTTCGCAGATACGCGAATGAAACACATTTTATCTACTTCTACATTTACACCAAGTATTATAATTGTTGTAAAATAGGATAGGAAGGACATAAAAGGTGATAAAAGAGGAAATGCTATTTATTTATTTGATCCTAAATTTTTATATTTTTAAAGAAGTAAACTGAGTTGCCTACATACAAAAGGTATATTTATACTTTATTTTTATATTAGCGCCATCTCTTATGAAACAATGCAACATTAAAATAAAGTTTACAGTTCTTTTCAATATTTACCTTCTTTTTTAGATAGTTTTCCGTGATAAATGGTAGATGATACCTACATATTCTAAAATCATATACTTACCACAAGTAAGTATATGTCTAAAATAATATATAAGTATTAAATTTATTTAAAAAATTAAATTTTATATTTTTGTTAAATTAAGTTTAATAAAATTATTAAATATTAAATTTATTTGTTAAATTTATTTAAAAAAAAATTTATTTAAAAAAAAAAAGTTTCATTTTTTTCTTAAATTAAGTTTAATAAAATTAATAACAAATTTCTAGTTATATTATTAACCAACTGTTATATATTAAATTAAATAAATAAAGTTTAAATTGATTTTATCTATTTTGCTTCATTACAACACTGCTTTCGGTACTTTAATGAGATACTTTATCCCACCCAAAATTTTGATTTTATAGGTAGGCATACATGCATAATATTTTGCAAATTAGTTATAATATTTTTAAGTATGATTTTTCTAGTACTTACTTTTCTGGCAATAAATTCTGTTTAACACCAAAGAAAATCCTTTTTTCTTCTCTAACATTAACAGCCGCTTATTGTAAATTAGTTAATTAAGGACGGCATGGCGAATCGATTTTGACATTAACTGTCAAACCAATGACTGTAATACCAACTATCTAAAGTAAAATTCGACCAAATTAAATTTAAGGTATAAAATTAATTTTTTTATAGAATTTTTGAAAAATTAATAAAATAGCATAAAGAACTCATGACGTCAGGTCTTATGACATTAGTTCTTTAATATACTATAAAGGAATAAAATAGTGTTATTATACAGACTGTATAGAATCAAGTAAGTAAGGCTGGAGACAAGGATGGCAAATTATATTCTGATCAGAGAAAAAGAAACAAACTTTAATTGGGCGTGGTTTAAACCAAGCCATTCGTAATTACGAACCATAGTTGCCAGGTTGTTTTAAATTAGGTGATAACGATTATAATTATTTAATAAATAGTTCAATTTTATTTGTTTTAAACTTTAAAAATAACAAAAAAATTATTAATATGTCAAAAATAATTTGATTTAGTTAATTTTCTTACTTTTAATATTAAAAAATAAGAAAAACAACACTTTTAGGAAATAATAGCATATGGCAACAGCGCGGCATACAGCCGGATTGTAGCTACACTGGGTAAAGGCCTATTTTAAAACATATTTTGAAATAAAGTTTGTATCTAGCGATACGATCTACCAGTGTGATGCCATACCATAATTTGGTATTTTTCCTCACGGGTAAAAACCATTTTATTTGAGAAAATACTTTTTTATTCTTACAAAGACGTACGCAAAGTCTCAGTGCACTTCTTATACTGACGCACAGAACATAAGAGAATTAAAAGCGCTGTAGTGAAAAGTGGCAACAGGCATTGTTTGATTTTAAAATCTAGCAGGCTTGGAAATCCGAGGTGCCAGTAAGCCATTGGTGGAAATATCCACACGATTTCTGCGGCGCGAATTTTGAATTTTTATTTAAAATATGGAATTATAACCGAAAATTGTTAAAATTTTATATTTTTTTGGGTTTTTAAAGAACCATATAGTTAATATTGTTCTTTAAAAATCAAAAAATATAAAATTTCAACAATTTTCGGTTATTTTCCACTAATTAAGTGGAAAAACACACATTTTTGTTTTTTTTATAAATATATTAAACAAAATATACACTTAATTCAATTTTAAAATAAATTATAACCAACAAATAATATTTAAATGAGGAGAAATTCAAAGTTAATTATTCTATAACTTTTAGTGAAATTTAAAAAAAGGTTTATCAAACATGTATAATAATTTATAATTATTTAGGTATAATTTATCAAAAAGTATGACATTTAATTGATCATTTTCAAAAATTTTAATTTTGTGCCACATAATAACAATCTTTATAGGTATTTTAAGATTTCTTAATAAAAATGCAAAGGTTTATTAAACAAATTAACTCTAACCTATTACCTACCATCAAAATGTGATAAATTCTTGATAAACAATAGTTCAATACTTATTGAAAAACTATTGATATTAATTTAGTAATTTATTTTAATTGAATCTTTGACTAATTTAAAAGATTTTATATTTTACTTTACAAGTGTATCTTAAAGCTATTATACTTTTGCTAAGACTATTGGCAATAATTATGTTAAACATATGAAAACATTCATTTTAAATAGATAACATCAAATATATGAAATTCTTCAACAAAATATCTAGCTTTACTTGCTTTCAAATATTTCAGTCTTGTTTTAAGACGATCATTCTTTTGAATGGGGAATATACGAAATATTTATTACAAACAATTAATTTAATCGCGCATATAGGCACTAGCGGTATATTTAAAATAACACTACGCTTTTTGTGTGTACTCTTATAATTTTTAGGAATTGTTAGCAAAAGTATGACTATAATTTGTGTTTTAAATAAGAAGCACAATACTATAGTTTTGTAAAATATAGAATTTTTGGCAAAAAGGAATTCCCACTTATCCAATAATTAAATTACATTCTTTGCAATATTTAATTTTTAGTAAAATTGGTTTAATTTAAATTAATAATCAATAGAACCACTTCAATCTAAATGTTAAAAATATTGTAATTATGTATTTGGCAAAATTAAAATCTTTATGTACCTATCTTTTATATAAAATACTTTGTATGATATAACTGATATAACTGTCTGTCCACTCTAAGTTGGCGGAACTAAGGAATTTTGTAGTTTAGATATTAAAGAATTGTCGTACTGTGTGCTTTTAAAACAGATTTTATATTATAAATAATACTAGTACATATTATATAATATACATATTATATATATACATATTATATAATATAATATACTAGTATTATTTATAATATAAAATCTGTTTTAAAAGCACACAGTACGACAATTCTTTAATATCTAAACAACAAAATTCCTTGGTTCAGCCAACTTAGAGTGGACAGACAGTATTAATTGATTGTCTTCTTTCTTGTTCATGATTTATGGATTGAACCAGCGTCTTTTTCTTGATTCAATGAAGAATATTTAACTGCAATTAACATTTTCTATGTACTTTTGCAAAGAAGTTTGATAAATTCAAGTCCTGTCTACTTCTTCCATTAACACAAACCCAAACCTGAAATCAATATCAATTTTAAAATCAATTTAAATTGTAAAAAGATTGATATTACCTAATAATTTTTAAAATTAAATAAAAATAATTTAGCAATATTTATGCTGAAGCAAATAATTGAATGGTTTATTGTAAAAACAAGGGAAGTGACTAACTAAATATGATTATGTTTATTTTTTAATTTAAAAATCTTATAAAAACTAATAATGGTGACCTTGTGCTGTTTTAACATGAAAATATTCTTTTTTAATATCTTGCTAAATAATAATCTAAAGCAGAAGTGTATGTAATATAAAAATGTAAGATTGCTTGTTTTTAACAATAAACAATTTAATTATATTTGGAGTAAAAAATAAAAGTGTACTTTCTTTAATGGACAAGGCTTTTACTTTTTTTATATTTGTATTGTAACTATGGATGTGTGAATATTGAATTCAAGAATTATTTGAATAGTTTGAATGTTTCAAATTTTTAAATGGTTTAATAAGAAAATTAAAATTTTCCAATAGTAATTGAAGAAA